TAAACTTACTATATTAATAAAATTATTAATGTTATATAAGTAATCAGGGAATATGGTAAGTTTACTTGTTGTATATAGAAGGTCGGAACTTCTATGGAGCCAACTGTTGGCTTAATACCAAAACCGTTGGTATGTGATATACTTATCCAAGAATATTTAAGATTATATCCCTCGATCGGCTAGATATAATTGTAAAGTTTTCCAAATCGATGTGTCGAAATTATTATTAATATACTAAGTTAATTGTATATTGACGATATTCGATTTTTGATTGGGATATGTCATTTGAAAACTTGCAGGACCAATTTTCTAAGGAGTAAATCTTATGAAAACCTAATTGTCGGATTTTGATCAGTAGTTTGAAATCTATTGATCAATAGTTAGCCTTTTTTAGGCTATTAATCAAAATCCGACCATTGGATTTTCATAAGATTTATTTCGTTTAAAAATTCGTTCTCTAAGCTTTCAAATGACATATTTTAAGAGAAAACCGGATATTTGATTATCATAAAACTTAGTTGGATTTTTTTCTATATACACGTGCTCTTATTATCTTCATAGATCGATTACAGTTCCATAATTAATGCATGTAGTGCAATATTATATACTCATGAGAAAAATTATAAGCACGAACAACCTCCTTCAATTTTGTTTTATAATTACAATATTACTTTCAAAATTTTAAGTTGTCAATTTGGTCATGGCGAAAAATGCAAATATAGTCATGATTGTGGCTGAAAAGGACGCGGATGTCTACGTTTACTTTGAAAACTACCCTTTCCTAATTATTGGAAAATGATAAGGTTCCGTTACGAAATTATTTTGTTGGAATTTATAATCGTTAGCTTATCATGTAACCGTCAGAGATAGTTGATCAAATGGTTACAAATATCGACAGAATAGTTCTATATCATCTTCCGTAATTATTATTATTATTATTATTATTATTATTATTATTATTATTATTATTATTTTATTTTTTTTAAATAATAGAAATTCTTATTTTACTATCATGAGAAATTGTTACATATTTAACTAAATCAGATCGAATAATTCGTTTTGAAAGTTTTCTTATGAATATCATTGGAAAATCTGTCATTAGTGTTAGGTGATAAATTTTTGACCAAATATTCAATATACTATATTGAAATTTTGTATTTTTTGAATTAGTACACACCCTTGTGTGGATACGTTGATCCAACGGTTCAAGATATCCGATTTTTTATTGGGTGGTATTATTTGAAATTTTTGGACCAATTTTATAGTGTGTAAATCTTATGAAAATTCAACGGTCGGATTTTGATCAGTAGTTAGACAGATCAATTGCTAGTCTTTTATAGGCTACTAACCAAAATCCGACAGTTGGATTTTCATATAATTTACTTCGTTAAAAAACTCGTTTTCTAAGCTTTCAAATGACACATTTTAATCGAAAAATCGGATACCTTGATTGTCAGAAATTTGAATTGATTATTTTTCTATACATACATGCTCCTACTATCTTCGTCCATCGATTACATATGTCTCAATTTTCAGAAATCGACAAACCATGCCTCAATTTGTTCGTCTCGTTATGAGCTTTGAAAATCCTAAATTAATTTTAAAAATCAATTTAAAATTTATTGTTAATTGAGTTAAAAACATTTTTGTGTCATATTAGGGTTTTCATTCGAGGAGATATATTGTTAGTTTCGATTACTATGATAGACAAATTGTCAAGAAAAAAAAATTGGTAAAACAAAATAAAACATAGTTTGGGAGGTTAATTTTTTTCCCTAATTGTTATTATTTTTTTTCTAATTAATAGTATTCTTATTTTACTATCATGAGAAATTGTTACATATTTAACTAAATCAGACCGAATTATTCGTTTTGAAAAATTTCTTATGAATATCATTGAAATCTGTCGTTAGCGTTAGGTGATAAATTTTTGACCAAATATTTAACATACCACTCTATTGATTTATTTTTGTGAATTGCTATTTACTGCCCCTTTTTACTAATCACCGTCTCCTTTCAATTACGTTTTTACCCTTCACATTATATCTCTACTTTCTCTCTCTACTCTTTCCCTCTCGATTTTTTACGGCTCATTTGACCGTCAAAAAAATGTCGAAAAAATCCAAAAAAAATACCATGACATCGGCAAGACATTGAAGATTGACTATGTATTTTTTTTTATATTTTTTCACATTATAAATAATTTTTAATTTTTTTTTTATTTTATTTTTTTGCGTCCGGCCGGACGGACCGAACACACCAATGGGTGTCCGGCCGGACGGACCGGACCCAACCATTGGTGTCCGGCCGGTTCGGCCGGACGCTATATTACTTGTCCAGTCCGTCCGGCCACGAAAAAAAAATAAAAAAAATAAAAAAAATTATTTATAAAGTGAAAAAATATAAAAAAAATACATCGTCAATCTTCTAATGTCTTGCCGATGTCATGGTATTTTTTTCGAATTTTTTTGAAATTTTTTTGACGGTCAAAAGAGCCGTAAAAAATCGAAAGGAAACGAGTAGAGAGATAAAGTAGAGAGATAGTCATAAGGGCAAAAACGTAATTGGAGAGGGCGGTGATTAGTAAAAGGGGGCGGTAAATAGTAATACCCATTTTTTTTTTAATTAATACTAGGCTGCAGACGAGTAGAGCCGAGTCGAGCATACGCCTTATCGTGCAGGATTGAATTTTTTTTTTAGCTGCTCGAGCTCATTTTTTAGGCTCGAGCTCGACTCGACAAAAAGTTACAAGAACTCGAGCTCGGCTCGAGCTTGACTCGAACTCAAAATGCTCGAGCTCGGCTCGAGTTAGACTCGAAAATTTTTAAGTGGAAAGGTAAAATTACCATTGAGGACCTATACTAACATATATATAAGAGGTATTTTACTAATTTAACATGTATCTCGAACCGCTCGACAAGACAAAATATATGCTGGAGCTCGACTCGAGTTCGCTCAAACTCGAGCTCGAGTTGAGGTTTGACTCGAGCGCTCGGGAGCGGCTCCCGACCTCTCGGTCAAAAAAATACTTCAATGATTGAAGTCGACCATTTTTCTCTTCTTTTTCCCTCACAATCTCTCAGAATCTCTCTCATAATAATCGCTGGTGAAAATGAGGAAGACAATAAGAGCTGTCATCAAAGCCAACACACTCGATTTCACGGCGAATCATCATAGTCAAAAAAGCCACAGACGCGAGCAACAAAGCGAAAAGAATGAGTATTTTAAGAAGCTTCCTCGTTTTCTTTGGCTCCAAAGTCTTTTTCATTGGACTTTCTATCAGAAATTGGACAAGACTGAGGTAATTGTTAATTGTTCCTAACAAATTAAAGTTTTTGTAGATAAAAAGGTTGTCTGAAATTAAGCGCCTGCATATCTTTAGGCTTTTTAAGGCTTTGTGGAGTTGTTCAAATAATGGACCTGTGAAAGCATTTTGGTTGGCTCAGAGTGATTGATTATTAATGCTTATAACGAAGGTGGGTTTGTTTTTCTGTGTAAGTTTATGCTTTTTTCTTTTCATGGGATTAGTTTTTGTCCCAATGGGTTGCTAATAGAATGGTCTGAAGCAAACTAACACAAATGTGACTTGAGCTCTTTCTTGGGTGTTTTTTGTAGGCAAATTCTTTACTTAAGAGGGAAAAAAAGTATTCTAGTTATAGAAATATGTTGGAAACTTTTCAATGAATGGGTGGAGGTTCTGATGAAGTACATGTATCTTGATTCTTGAAGACATGGGTGTTGATCAGAAAAGAATTTGTTTACTCGAACTTTCGTAATAGTTCGGATGTGATTTTTCAGTGGAAATATTCGGGTGGCTGCAAGCAATTGATTTTATCAACATACTAAGTTCTCAGAATGATCGATTTATTGGCAGCGTTTGGCTTTCCATGGATGCTCATGAGCATAAGAAAAGGGCCACACGGTTTTTGATCAGTGAGAATTCAGAAGCTGATATACATAAGTTGATCTGTTAATGGAGATGAGCCTACTTATTGGAGTTTTAGCAGTGACATATTTGTCTTCTTTTGTTTCCCCTGATTCACAAGGTATTATTCTCATGCCTTTTTT